CGTGTACCTTTCCACAGCTGAAATTTTCATGCCTTCTCTCGCAATTGGAGTTTTTCTTTTTCACGTGTCAGTATATTTACAGGTCAGTTCATCATATAAAATTTATTTATGCTGGCTGATTTTGATAAACAGTAATGGAACAATCTATATGTGGGACAGGAAGCAACAGTTAGAACTGGATATGGAACAAATGATTGGTTCAAAATTGGGAAAGGAGTACAACAAGGCTGTATATTGTCCCCCTGCTTATTTAACTTGTATACAGAATACCTCATGCGAAAGGCCGGACTGGAGGAATCCCAAGCCAGAATTAAGATTGCTGGAAGAAATATATAATACCACTCTGATGGCAGAAAGGAGGAAATTAAAGAACCTCTTAATGAGGGTGAAAGAGGAGTGCCAAAAATGGTCTGAAGTTCAACATAAAAAAAAAAAACTAAGATCATGGCCACCGGTCCCATCACCTCCTGGCAAACAGAAGGGGAAGATATGGAGGCAGTGAAAGATTTTACTTTCTAGGGCTCCATGATCACTGCAGATGGTGACAGCAGTCACAAAATTAAAAGACTTCTTGGGAGGAAAGCAGTGATACAACTTAATGATTAAACAACAACAAATGGAACTGAGTTCCTGCTATATGATATACAGAGAATAGGAAACCCATGTCTAACATTGTTTCTTTAATACAATTCAGAGTCTTCTCCCACTTGTGCTAAGTTTTAAATATGACAACTAGAAATTTAAATGTGCACAGTAAGCATCTAGAACACCCAAACTTCTGAATCTATTTCAAAAACTCCGCATGCCAGTACCCTGTTTCCCCAAAAATAAGACCTACCCCAAAAATAAGCCCCAGTTCAGTGAAATCCTGCCCTACACCACTGTGCAGCAACCAGAAGAAGATGACATGACTGTATTTGAATAAATGTAGATTGTTGTACATGAAAAAAATAAAACATCCCCTGAAAATAAGTACTAATGCATTTTTGGAGCAAAAATTAATGTAAGACTCTGTCTTATTTTTGGGGAAACATGGCATATATTTGAGGTACAATGTCCTTATGAGTTATTAGTGGTGAATGCATACAGAATGTTACAGTTTTTCATTTTCTGTTTGGTGTTGTTTTAAAGAATTGATGAAGAATTTCAGAATCAAAGAGCTTGGTTTTTTGCATCTTCACTTAAAAAAACATAAAACAAAGATAATGATTTTCGCTACATGCTTTTTTTTTTTTTTGCTTAATTTAAAGAACTACTCAGTAAAGTCCTATGAAACGAAATGGAAGTCTATTCTGTTCATTCCTCCAGATGTCTAAGCATTAGTGAATGGAGGAACAGGGCACCTCTCCACACCATTTAATGTAAGGCATGGACTCTCTTTTCCATGAGCTGTCAAAATATCTAGGTGAATGCTTTTATGCAGAATGGCCGCACCAGGGTGCTGTTTTAGCTATGCTACTTCCATTGTCCCTTATAAAAGAAGAAAGGCACTATATCAATCAATCAATCAATCAATCAATCAATCAATCAATCAATCAATCAATCAATCAATCTTCCCTTGCAATGTCCTCATCATACATGGAAATCACTAATAGGCATATGTCCAGCCATCAACCTTAATTTGACCTACTCTGCTAGGACTTCTAATGTCCTCTTTTAGTCAGTGACCTGCCCTGCCTTTTGTGCCCTAATCGCATCCCTATGTCCAGACAACCTCAGGACCTACGTCTGCTCAACAGCTGACTACCATGCCTGGATAAGGCCATCTCTTGACACCATCTATCTCAATAGTCAGGGTCACAGCAGCAGTACTATGGCAAAAAAGCTGATGTATCCACTTCAGGCACCTAAACATATCTTAACAATATAGGAATTCCTAGAATTGCTTTCATACAATAAAAACATGAAAATATAATAATGAAAGACTGGCAAGGCAAAATAGCCAAATCTGCAGAATACCTTGCCATCAGTAGAATAATAACCATTGAAACAAACAACAGTGCCATCAAGTCAAATTCTAACTTACAGAGACCCTTTTCAGGGTTTTCTAGGTAGAGAACACTCAGAAGTGGTCTCCCATTCCCTTCTTTTGGAGGAGTCCTGGGACTGTGCAGCTTGCCCATGGCCACATAGGTAAAGGTAAAGGTTCCCCTTGACATTTTCAGTCTAGTCGTGTCCGCTCTAGGGGGCGGTGCTCATCCCATTTTCAAGCCGTAGAGCCAGTGCTTGTCCGAAGACAGTTTCCATTGTCACATGGCCAGCATGACTAGGGAACACCGTTTTACCTTCCCACCGAGGTGGTACCTATTTATCTACTCGCATTTGCATGCTTTCAAACTGCTAGGTCGGCGAGGAGCTGGGACAAAGCAACAGGAGCTCACTCCGTCACGTGGATTCAATCTTACGATTGCTGGTCTTCTGACCCTGCAGCACAGAGGCGTCTGCAGTTTAGCCCACAGCGCCACCACGTCCCTTGTCCCTTGGCCACATAGGCTGGCTCTATTCACAGGAGGCACCATGGGGAATTTAACTCCCTACCTTTGGCCTGGCAGTGGGATACCTAAACCCCTTACTTGCAAATTAACACATTTAAAAACCTAGCAAGACAAAAACTCTCCTAGTACACTCTTCTGGAATGAACACATTGAAACTGAAAGGGATAGCATTTGAGGTGAGAAGCAGTTTGTAGAGGTATCTTTTAAATTGCCTAAAGACAGAAACTTCAGGAGCCTTGAAAGTAGGTGGAGAAATCTTATGCCTTTCCCCTAGGAGTAAATCTTATTACTCTCAGTGGGACTTACAAGCCAGTACATATGGATGAGCTTTTAATGTTAAGCTCCTTAAAAGACTTAAAATCTCTTGAAAATTACAGGCACTTTACAGCAATACTTTCAAGAAGTTCTAAGATATGTGCACAAGTAAGAGACACTGCTGAGGTTGTCAGAAAACATTTTTTTTTTGGTAGTGTTTCCATTAATCTAGCCGCTCAGTTCTCCTCAACAGAGGCAAGTTGCTTTAGTATTGTAGCAAGTGCTAAAATTTCAAGTGTGGAATGACAGAGTTACTGAAAATTATTGCTCAACATGATGACATCAAGGAGGTCTGCTGACAGTCAGGAGAGATCAAAAGGAGATCAGGTTCCTTAACAAACTATATGTCACTGAACTGAGAAAGGGTAAACTGAGAATCCTGGGGAGCTGTGAAATCAAGAGGCAATTGCTGGAGCCAAACTAGTACATATATTAATAAAATCCCTAGCTGTCTTAAGCCCTTTGTTTATTAGAATGTCTGGCACATAACAGATTAATGTTAAATAAAAATTGGTGGCAGCTGAGCAGGGTAATCTGTGAAATTTTATATGAATATAGTTGCAAAAACTGCAAATAAAATTCTTCCTCTAACCTATTAAAAAGGCCCCAGTGTGCTCTTTAAAACGTCTAACACTGCATCTTTTTAATGCAATCCCTTTGACTTTTTCTCTCTCTCCAAAACTTTTGTGCATTCTAGTGCTCAAAAACAAACAAACAATAAATAGATAAACAAAAGAACCTGCACGCTCAATGATTTCAATAGTTATGTATATACTTGTATATATTAAAAACAAGACTTCCCTTAAAAGAAGCCAACAAAATATTTCCTTTTTAAGCATATGTGCACTGAAGCTTATCATCCTGATTATGCACCATAAAGAAAACATTTTTACATTATAAAAATAGTTCTAAGTTTTCATATCTTTCCACAGATGGCTAATACAGTGAGACACTCACATGGAGCAGCACATGCCAACAACTGCTAAAATCCAAAAAAATCTACTTTTGAGGTACAACATTCTGAAGCATCCATTTATATAAAGAAATTTGTCACGACAATTACAATCATTTCAGTAATACACATGTTTATTGTGGGAAGACACAGATAAATGAACTTCACTTCCAGCAATTAAGTAAGGGTGGACTGAGGTTTAGTTGTGTTTAGATAAAAGTTTATTTGAATTCTAACTAAAAGATGTGTCAGCTGCAGGGGAAATTTTTTCTGCTGCCTGATCTCAGATATCTGCCAAAAGAACAAATCTGCTGGCCTGAATCTGTCTGCAAAAGGACAATGTCTCAAAACTATTATTTTGCTTTAGAGAATGAAACCAAGAGTGCTGCTCCTCCTCAGAAGTTATTTCCACTGAGTTGAATGAAACTTACAGAGTGGGGAAAATATGGTTTGATCTGCTGTGATCCATAGTTTTTCAAATTAGGTTTCTGTGAGTGAAATCCATATAGCAACCCAGGCAACAAGCAATTTTCAGGAGTCAGTTGGGTAAAGGCAGAGAACTGTGGTTGCACAAGGTCCAGCAGCAGAAGCTGCCTTTGACAAGGTGCTAACAAGCTCCTATTGGACAATTCCCACTTTTCTTATTTAGTTTTCTCAAGAGCCCTAGCAATATTCCCTGTGAGCTCCTATTGGACAATTCCCACTTTTCTTTTTTTTCTTTTTTCAAAAAAGGAAACTGTGTGGAAACAAGAGTCTTTTCTTTTTCTTTTTTTTAAAAAAGGAAACTGTGTGGAAACAAGAAGCACTTTGTTGAGGGGAAATGACACCCCTTCAAGTGCTCCTTTGCATCAAATTAGGCGATCACACTAGCAGAAAGTGGCTGAAGGGGATGTCAGCCTGATGAGAATAAATTTTAAACCATCTGTGCCAGCTGAACAACAACAAGATGATGATTCAAAAGAGACAATTCCACAACAGGTTTCCCAACCTTGAACTTTATGTCATGTAGCTGCCAGATTTTAAATCAAATTATTCTGTGCCCAATCAAACACAAATAAACAACAAGGTAGTTGCTCCAATACTTAAAGGTGTGTATAGAACTGCAGCCTCTCTTTTAAGGTAGCATCTCTTTTAAGCCTGTTGGCGAATGCTCGATTTAGGTTTGTTCACATGCACTAGACACAGATACAAGACCTACCTCTGTACGTGAAGTGCAAAGTGATAGTGAACTGACGTACCTCGCAAGTCTTTTTTAAGTTTCCGGAGATCTTTCTGAAACTCTTCAAATTTTAGCTGAGAAGCTTGGAAGAGATCTTGTGGTTCTGGAAGAGGGAAGATGCACTGCTCTTTTCCAGCATCCTGGCAAAAGAGAACATAAATATGTTCAATAAGCAAATACTTTTTAGAAGGCACTCCTGAGATGAACAACTATGCTTCTTTATCATCTGTTCATTAAATCAAATATAATATCAACAGAGTGCCTCCTTCATTTCAGTGAATCAAAATCACAGTACATTTGCAACTAAGAACACTAATGGTTGATGTAAATGATTTTCTGGATATGTTTTGTTTCATCTGATTTTGGAGCTAAAACTTCATCCTTATTGGATAACCTCTGTTTAGATAAGAATGGGGGACCTGTCTCAATTCTCTTAAATTGATCGTTGGCCTTTTATATAATTGAACATGGTATACCTTGGATATGTTATCTGAATAGGGGTAGGGAGGTGGGTGGGTACTGTTGAAGACTAATTCTGTTCACAGATGGTCAGTTCTGGAAAGTGATGCTGGGGAATTACTGCTGGATCTTCCTGGAAACTGTACAATTGTGTTATGTAGTCCCAGGGTTCTGTTTTCTCCCTTATGCTAATCAACATTTGTTTGTTTAAAATATTTTTACCCCACCATTTTCCTCAAAAAGAAGCCAAGGAAGTTTGCATCATTTAAAAACAATATTTAAAAGCTAAACATAGTTAAGTATGCAAATATTTTTACAGTATCAAACAAATACCACAGTAAAAAAATGGTAAACAAAATCAACACCAAAAACAGATTCAAAGCAATAAGGCACTACACTCCATTTAAAAGCCCTTCTTGGACAGCCAGTCACTGTCTGCCAAACACTGCATAAAACTAGAGGATGATGGTAATTTAGAGGTAGACTGAGATTACTCAATAGGCTGCCAAATGAAAGGGTCAGAGAGCCACAGAGCTGGAAAATACAACAAGGGCCATCTAATCCAATCCCTTACAATACAAAAAAGTACAGTTAATGTATCCTTGTTACATAGCCACCCAACCTCTTTTTAAAAATAACCCCATCAAAGGAAAGTACACCACCTTTGGAGGCAACTCATTCCACAGTCAAAGAGCCCTGAACAACATTACTATAATTCTTTAATGTTTAGTTGGCATCTCTTTTCTTATAATCTGAGATCACTGGTTTGCATCCTACCCTCCAGAGCAGAAAAGAACCCAACTTGCTCCACTTTCTATATAGCAGTTTTTCCAAAATAGGGAGACAAATCTTCTTGAGAAGCAAAGGAAAAAAAATTCCTCTTCGACCAGTGAGATTTTTCTGTGCAAATCCCAACTCCCATGTTTTTTTTCCAAGAAATATCATGTTTTGTGGTCATTTTTCTTGACTAATTTATATAAAATTATTATAGATGTGGCACAAAATGACATATTCCCTGATTCTTACATGAAACAACAAGTAAACAAAAAGAAAGGAAAGAAAGGAAAAAGAAAAGAGTACAAGAGGATACAGAGAAAGTTTCTACAAGGAGTTTCAGCCTATTAAGGCTGCTGTGAATAAGAAATTTCCAAATACTCTTCACATCTCTACTTAAAATATTTGAGGATGGTTATCCTTTCACCTCAGTCTTCTGTTGTCTAGGCTACACAGAAACAACTCCCTGAACCATTCCTTACTGGGCTTGATTTCAAAACCCTTTATCATCTTCCCTGCCCTGCTCGAAGCATGTCCCAGCTTGTCCATATCCTTCTTAAACTGTGGCTAAAAGTGGACACAGTTGTCCAGGCAACACCTCACCAGACCTGTTTGGGGAACTCATGCCAGCTTTTAGTGATTACAGCATTCTTTCCTAAGTGCATACAGATCAACTCATTAATGATCCATTCTGGAACATATCCCAATATAGATGAACAAAGCAACACATTTTTCAGGATGGAGACAAATTTACCTGCTTCCAGTTGCCTGGGACTTCTTCCACAATACTCAAACATTATAGACAGAGCCTGAAAGATGACACCTACAAGTTCCTTTAACATTTTCAGATGCAGTTCACCTACCCTTGAGGATGAATTATTTTAAAGTGACCAAATGTTCCTATAACTTCATTTTTACTCATTGTGGGTTACAGACTCCATGGTATAATTCTGTTTTTACCAGATTTAGCACTGTTTTTATTTGAAAAAAGACAGAAGCCCAAAAGGTGCTGAGCGATTCCACTTTGTCTCTGTCCCCCACTCCATCTTCGACATGCAGCAAGTTAACTGCTTTCTTGTTGTTCCTTTTTGTTTTTAACATAACAACTGTGCCCTCAGCTTTCATTATTTTTAAGTATCAATTGCAAGGTAGAGTTTTTCCTAACTTTTAGTTCTCCAGGCCTTCCCTAGAAATTCTGACTACTTTTCAATCTAATTCAGGAGCTTCTAATTCATTTATTCCAGTTCTCATAGAAATGCTCAGCTCCTGTGTTTTCAATTCCTTGCCTTTAAGAAACGTACATATATCTGAGGTATACCTAAGACACTCTGTGTGGGAGGCAGTGGGGCCATTCTGCTGTTGCAATTCCCTCTCACTGCTTGTGGTCAAAAGAACATTCAAATTCTCTTCTGAATGGCTAGGAAATCCAGGTTTTCAAGTGGAAAAGAGGACTGGATGAGGAAGGACTTCTGCCAGGGCAACATTAATGACTAATTACTCTTAAACAACTGGAGTGAAAGTATTCATATTAAAGAAGAGAACCAAATAAAAATCTTAATTTTAATACGGAGTATTTTAAAAAGCTAAAATGAAGGATTTTTACCTACCTCATCAAAATTGCGTAAATAATATGAGACAATGTAAGACAGAAGACTTCTGCTGTTGTCCTGTACAAAGGCAAAATTAAATAATGAAAATTATAGGCATAAAACATATAAAGATATTAGCTATAGCTATTTTTAATACAGTGAGACAACTATTGAACCAGAAGACAATGGAACCAAGACTAGAATAAGGTATTTTAATCCTTGAGCTACTGCACTGATTAAGAAAAGAGCTGAAGCTGCATCTTAAAGAAGGACTGGGTATGAACTTTACAGGCATACATGCAGTGAATTAGGGGGAATTTTAATACCCCACACATGAAAATGTAGTAACTATGTAAAATGTGCAAGAAATTCTATAATATTTTTAATCTCACAAGCTTTTATATTTACTGCCCTCACACTATAAAAAGCCTCTGAGAGAATGAATGGATACAGTACATAAATCACCAAATGACTGCATTAAAATTCTCTGTTTTTTACTTCAAGAAATACATTGGAATTAGAGATGGGCACAAACTGTTGCTTTGGTATTTTGTCCGTCAGTCCAACAGATGTTCTGCAGTTCTAAGGCCCATCTCCTCCCACAGGTGCCCACTCAGTGGCAGTGCCCTAAGGAGGTGGGGCAGGGAAGCGGGGGTGGTTCATGCCCACCTCTTATTGAAATATAAAATGAAATTTGTAACAGGGCATCCTACCAATGGATTGACAGAAGACAAAAGGCCTAAATATTTCTTATTCATACACACTGGGTCCCCTCCACCCTTCTTTTTGTTGTGATTGGTTTGTTTGTTTGTTTTCCTAGCCATAGAGGGAGACAAGGATTTCAGAACAGAAAATCGGGGTTGGATGTAGTGTTGCTATTCTTATGCGTTTACAATTCTTAATGTCTTGTTGCAATTAATTTGTTATCCTAGACACCACTAACAAAGGAAGCTGTACAAATTCAGACTGTAATACAAATTTTAGCCTGGGAAAATAGTCATCTGTAGGAATTGCAAACCCAAAGCTATTTGCGTTTTGTCTTTGTTTTTTAAAAACCATTTTTTAAAGAAGTGACTACACCCCCCCCCCAAAAAAAAGTATGCCTGGAATTGTCAGGAAGTATTTTTAAACCCTTTTGCAGTATTAATATAATTCTGTAATATATATTTCAAAAATATTACTTTAACATTTGACTTTTTCAGTTTGTCTTATATAACTGCTTAATTTTTATAGTGACCAACACATCAGAAAGTGCTCCTGTCCGTACAATATATAACCACTACAGTATCTATGGTAGGTAGATAAGCTACTCTACTCACATTTACCATTCCTGGATCTTCCCAGTGCATTGGCTATTATATTTATAAATGCAGACAGTAATAATAAACTCTGGCATTTAAAGCAGAGGGAGCAGTTTAAAGCTGTATTCTGGGGCCTGAAAGCTGCAGAATGGTATTATCCTGCAGTCACTAGTATAAAGTTCCTGTTCAATGTCAAGGACTAAAGGACTTACAAGGGCCTGATCCAGAATAAATTCTGAAGTCCCGGAGTGGACAGCCACTGAAAATCCTGTGTCTGAATCTCAATCACTGTCAACCGCAATTTCAAGTGACTTATTTCAAGCGTCCTTGTAGATGATCTGCATTGGATCCATGAGAAAGATGGAGCTCCTGAGCTCTTCTGAACACCTTCAAAATTAAGAGCTGGCAGAATTCCTTCCACTCAGCTCTTTTTATAAGTTTATTTTTAGCATTAACAATAGTTATTTGTTAATTAACAAATATTTAACACCTAATGTATCAACTCATACCTCATTGTCTTTGGTCTCTTCAAACACTATCAATTTATTATTCAAAGTGTCCACAATAATTAGAAAAGGGACTATCTCCACAGCCCTTTTTTGTGACTAAAGAGAAAGGAAGCATTTCTTCCATGTGTATTCCCCGTGCTTTTAAGCTGGGGATTGAAATGACACACTGCCAGGAGACTGGCTTACAGTGGCTGACATCAGTATGGGGAATACGTTGATTCCTAGATAGTGAATATTGCAACTCAGGTTATGAAGTTACTGTTTGTTATCTTCCTATTTATAAAGTGTTACTATCATTTAAACACTTACGTCTTGCAATAATGTGTGAGAAAAATGCTTGTATCTTACAACACCTGCATTTCTGCACTGTCTGATTCTCATGCTTTGGGAACCATAGTCAGTTTTGTAAGTTATTAAAGCTTTATTCACAGAAAAATCCAATGTTTCCCATGTGGAGACAACACAAGTGGAGTCTGAAAACAATGCAAGAACTTGTATAAAGCTAAAAAAACAAAACACTCAGAGGATTCTCTGTACAAAACAATATCACAGATTTAAAAAACTTAATATGCAACACTGACATAGCAGCTGGTTACCTTTGAGTATGAAAGCAAGCTTCACGTAACATTTTTAATAGAAGTTGTCAGCTTTTTATTTCATTAATGAAATGAGGATGAGAGTCATGAGCTGAAGAACATAATGTGAAATTGTGAAGTGACTCAAGGAGGGGAGGAAGGCTAAACTTACACTGCTCTTGACATCCTTCAGTTTGGGAAGTATGTCTAATCCAAAGCCATCTGCCTGTCCTCTCGTCCTGTTTCCACCATTCATGTAATTCCCAAAAGCAAGAACTAAGCCTAAAACTCGCATAACTCCTGGGCCACTTTTTAGTGTCTGAGGAATGAAGACACAGAGCAAATTTTAAAAAGACACTTCAGAAACATCTTAAGAGAGCATACAGCCTATTGCAACATCACACCCCTCCCTTTTTTTGTAACATCATGCTTAACAAAGAGTTTTTTAAAGTCCCAAAAACTGCATAGAGATTTCCCTGTCTTGTAAACTGTGCTAATAAAATAACATGGATTTTGGCATTTCATTATAGGCAACATGGCTTTCTGTGTACTTCAGAAACAATTATGGGCTGGCTACATGAGAATGCTCAATTCTCTTTGAACCCACTCTTCTTCAGTGCTGTGCAACTTCATCACAATGGACTTAGCATCAGCATTTCATGTACTAACTGCAGCAATCCACTTTGTAATGGAAAGCCACAGAAGGAGAAACCCAGGAAGCATCTCTCTTTGCTACCCACTAACAAACCAAACTTCTTAACAAAGGCAAGAGGAACAGTTTAAGAAGTACGGAACCCAGGAGAACAGCCACTGAATGGCAATCTAGCCATTGGCATCACCACATAAGATTTTGCATACTGGGCTGAGTGCCCCTAGGTCAATCCAATTTTATAGTGGAAGGAAGCATCTGTCACAATAAAACCACAGACCACAGAAACTGTACCTTAAGTCAGTGGTCCCCAACCTTGGGCCGCCAGATGTTCTTGAACTACAACTCCCAGAAGCCTTCACCACCACCTCTGCTGGCCAGGATTTCTGGGAGTTGAAGTCCAAGAACATCTGAAGGCCCAAGGTTGGGGACCACTGCCTTAAGTCACACTCTGCGCTTAATCAGGCAAATCACAGAACATGGCATTGTCAAGTACAGGGTTCTCAATGGTTATAAGAAAAGGAAACCATAAAGGCTTGAAAAACTACACTGTTTTTTTATTTTAGGAACACCATTTGCTAGCCTCTTGAGAAAAATATGGGGGATGGAAAAAGACAAAATAATTCTCCCTCTCTTTTTAGAAACAGGTTACTGTTTTCTTGCCCTATTATACTGGAAGTGGAACAGAATATGAAATGGAACACTAACTGATCCATTTAAGTCAGAAATGGGAATATGTCTCCCAACAACACACATCCCCACATAATATATCTGTGAAGATTCTCAGTCATCCAGATGAAGTTACCTGGAAGCTAAGTCATGGCAAACTGAACTTCTTTCTTCTTAGGTTGAAACATTTTGCTACTTATCCAAGTAGCTTCTTCAGTCTGAGGAGAGTGGGTAGGAGACTCCTGATATATCCTCCACGTTGGTTTCAGTTTCCCGTGGTCTGAATAGGCTCATTAGATGGACAAAGGACTGGGGGTGAGAGATAATACCACTTCTGTAGTCCTTCTCATTGTCATGGGTCATTTCTGGTATATGGTCCTGATCTTTCAGGGTACAGATGAAAGGGAAGTATGAGAAACAGGAGACAGATTGTATCTAAGACCCCCACCCCTGCTGAGTAAGCGATTTTCTATATGCACATGTATGGCCTCCCTGACCCCTCTCTTAAACCACCTATCTTCTCGCTCCAACCCACAAACACACTAAGGCAGAGACTCATCCACTCAAAACACAGGACAGCAAAACACAACAGGGGCAATATAGTATATGCGGTCCAATACAAAGAGGAGTGTTCAGAACTCTACATTGGAGAAACCAAACAGCTATTAAACAGGAGAAGGCCCAGCACAGGAGGGACAATGGCTCAGGACCACAATCAGCAGTTGTCTCTTCATTTGAAGGACAAAGGACACTCGCTTGATGGCCACAATGTACTCATTTTGGACTGAGAACATAGTTGATTTGAGAAAGGGGTCAGAGAGGCCATACATGTGCATATAGAAAATCCCTCACTCAAAAGGGGTGGAGGCCTTAGATACAATCTATCTCCTATTTATTATGCTGCCCTTTCATCCATCCCCAGAAAGATCAGGAAAACACCCACCAGAAAAAACACTGTTAAACGACTGTTAATGACCCTTGACAATGGGTGGGGAAGAACTGCGGAAGTGGGATTTTCACTCGCCCCCCCAGTCCTTTATCCATCTAACAAGTCTATTCAGATGAGGAGGACGTGAAACCATCGTGGAGGATATATCAGTCATCTCCTACCAACTCTCCTCAAACTGAAGAAGCTACCTGGATGAGTAGCAAAATGTTTCAACCTAAAAAGAAAGAAGTCCAGTTGCCATGACTCAACTTCCAGATCCCCACACAATAGGCAAAGCCCAGTGAAAGACTGCTGAGAGAGAAACACGTCTTACAGGAGCAAAATCATCCCTCTTCTGATCTTCAGGAAAAGTGTGGGAGTAAGTGCTTCATCTGCCATTACTTCAAAGTCAGATCTAAGGAGCTAGGAGTATGGTGATAGAGTAGCTTTCAGCCAGTGGCTGGGATCATGTAGAAATAACCTCTAATAAGGGAGAATAAGGTAACAGAGGAGAAGTGAATCAACAGGAACTCCCTCCTTCAAAAGCTAGTGCAAGAGAGCTTCAGATTAGGGAATATTTCAGCTCTATAAAAGCAGGCATTTCACTCTGCAAGTATTTTAGGGCCAAACAGTTAGTGCATCTTGAAATGTCATGTCAGAACAAAATAGTTGCAAAGGTCTCTTAAAAAGAGAGTTTTCAATGCAATCATTATATCAGAAGGTAGTTGTGCATATCAAATGATCCATTTATACAGTATAATTACTTTTATTTTAAAAAAAGGTTTCCAAACAGAACTGGTAGTTGAACTAAAAACATGATTATTTAATATAATTATTTGTGTAGGCAGGGTTGAAGATTTTTTTTCCTTTCTTGCCTTGATTATGCCAATGTCACTAAATTACTGAGATCCAAACATTACAAATTATGCTAGAAGGATTATTTCCAAAAACCAAGGCACATATAACAGGAAAAGGGAAATAAGTGATTGTTTGGAAAATACTAATGAAAAGGCAATGGTTATTACAAAGAGAGAAGATTTTGCTTTGGCACAGGAAGAAGGCACATTACTCTCTAGGGGTTGATGTGCACTGGCTACAGACTTGTGATGTTATATTTCAGCAATGAAAGCCAAATCTTCAGATTGGCTTTGATCCTGAAGCACAATCATAAAATGTTCCATTCAGCAGGACTGCTATCCTTCACTTTTAATAAGTATTTAAAGTAAATAAAACTTTTGAAATATGAGTATCACTGAACAAGAAAGATTAAATATCAGAGAATCTAGCTCTTACATTAGATGGTCCAGAACCTACCTCACACAGTTTCTGCATCAACTCAAGTTTGCTATGAATAGAAGAAATGCTTTCAGAAAATGTTGATTGGAATAGAATACAAAAGACACGTTCTGAGAAGTTGGGGATGAGGGAGAGTTCATAAAGAAACCTGCAGAAGTTAATAAAAAAATATCAACGATCAGTTTTATTATAAGGACTATAATAACAAACCATTACTTCATAAAAGTGGGTATAGGTAACAGCCCAAAAATAATGCCCTCAACCAGTGAATTAGGCAAAACTTGAACAAGAGTCAGAACAGATCCAGTTTGTTTGCCTGAATCATCTGATAGACTATTGAACTAGAACTGGAACAGAACCTTGAGGGAGGGGAAGAGACACGGTACCAATTCCAGCAAGGCCAACACCAGGTTGGGAAAAGGCCATTAACAGCCTCTATGTGGGGTCTCACATGGAAGGTAGACCTGTACTCACTAAGGTGGCAGAACCTCCAACCTGAGGATAACTAGCAGCAGAGAAGCTGGTGATTTTCTCAGAAGTGACGGAAAAGCAGCCAACACACTTCCCTTATTTGGAAGTAAGCAGGTATGAGCTGGAGCTAGATTTTCAATTTTGTTGTTTAGTTGTTAAGTCATGCCCAACGCTTCATGACCCCATGGACAGAGCATACCAAATCCATCTTGTCCTCTGTCGTCCCCTTGTCCTCTTGCCTTCACACTTTCCCAACATCAGGGTCTTTTCCAGAGAGTCTTCTCTTCTCAAGAGATGGCCAAAGTATTGGAGTCTTAGCTTCAGGATCTGTCCTTCCAGTGAGCACCCAGGGTTGATTTCCTTCAAAATGTATAGGTTTGTTCTCCTTGTAGTCTAGGGGACTCTCAAGAGCCTCCTCCAGCACCACTATTCAAAAGCATCAATTCTTCTGTGGTCAGCATTTTATGGTTCAGTTCTCACTTCCATACATCATTACAGGAAAAACCATAGCTTTGACTATTCGGACTTTTGTTGGCAAGGTGATGTCTCTGCTTTTTAAGATGCTGTCAAGGTTTGTCATCGCTTTCCTCCCAAGAAGTAGGCGTCTTTTAATTTCATGGCTGCTGTCTCCATCTGCAGTGATCATGGAGCCCAAAAAGGTAAAATCTGTCACTGCCTCCATATCTTCCCCTTCTATTTCACAGGAAGTGATGGGACCAGTGGCCATGATCTTAGTTTTTTTTAATGTTGAGTTTCACGCTGTTTTTTGCACTCTCCTCTTTCACCCTCATTACAAGGTTCTTTAATTCCTCCTCACTTTCTGCCATCAGCGTGGTATCATCTGCATATCGGAGGTTGTTGATATTTCTTCCGGCAATCTTAATTCCGATTTGGGATTCCTCCATTCCAGCCTTTTGCATGATGTATTCTGCATATAAGTTGAATAAGCAGGGGGACAATATACAGTCTTGTCAAACTCCTTTCCCAATTTTGAACCAATCAGTTGTTCCATATCCAGTTCTAATTGTTGCTTCCTGTTCCACATATAGGTTTCTCAGGAGATAGATAAGGTGCTCAGGCACTCCCATTTCTTTAAGAACTTGCCATAGTTTGCTGTGGTCCACACAGTCAAAGGCTTTTGCGCAGTCAATGAAGCAGAAGTAGATATTTTTTCTGGAACTCTCTTTCTCCATAATCCAGCGCATGTTAGCAATTTGGTCTCTAGTTTCTCTGCCTCTTCGGAATCCAGCTTGTACGCCTGGGAGTTCTCGGTCCACATACTGCTGAAGCCTACCTTGTAGGATTTTGAGCATAACCTTGCTAGCGTGTGAAATGACTGCAATTGTACGGTAGTTGGAGCATTCTTTGGCACTGCCTTTCTTTGGGATAGGGATGTAGACTGATCTTTTCCAATACTCTGGACACTTTTGAGTTTTCCAAACTTGCTGGCATATTGAATGTAGCACCTGAACAGCATCATCTTTTAAGATTTTAAATAGTTCTACTAGAATGTCATCACCTCCACTGGCCTTATTGTTAGCCAGGCTTTCCAAGGCCCATTTGACTTCACTCTGCAGGATGTCTGGCTCAAGGTCAGCAACTACATTGTCTGGGTTGTCCGGGATATCCAAATCTTTCTGATATAATTCCTCTGTGTATTCTTGCCACCTCTTCTTGATGTCTTCTTTTTTCCCCCTCTATTTCTTTGCATTGTTCATTTAAGAAGGCCCTCTTGTCTCTCCTTGCTATTCTTTGGAAGTCTGCATTCAATTTTCTGTAACTTTCCCTATCTCCCTTCTATCTTGTTTCCCTTCTCTTCTCTGCTATTTGTAAGGCCTCGTTGGACAGCCACTTTGCTTTCTTGCATTTCCTTTTCTTTGAGATGGTTTTTGTTGCTGCCTCCTGTACAATGTTACGAGCCTCTATCCAAAGTTCAGGCACTGTCCACCAAATTGAGTTCCTTAAATCTGTTCTTTACTTCCACTGTGTATTCATAAGGGATTTGATTTAGATTATACCTGAGTAGACCAGTGGTTTTTCCTACTCTCTTCAGTTTAAGCTCTGACTATTTTCTATACCCACCTTTTAATTTCCCTTTGATGGATCCTAGATACTGATGGTGCTGTACTCTGAGGCAAACCCCTTACCAGGGGATTTAAATGGTGGATGCAGCAGAAGGATCTACCAATGAGTGGCTATTTTGGTGTTACTATTGCCCACTTGTCTCAAGGAAAAGGAAAAGAAATGTAGGGGGACAGGGATGATGAGCCATTTAGAGGGTTTGAGCCAGCAAATGCTATATAGTGACAATCCCTAGAGTCAGACCTGGATTCAGAATGGATCAGCAAAGCACTGATGTGGCACCATGACTCGCTCTTGAACAAGGATCAGAATATACATACACAATAATTGTGTATATATCTATATGTGGACACACACACACACACATAGCCTCCTTCAAGGGTTGGGCCTGGGGAGCATTACAAAGCTACACTTCCCTTTGTGATAGACATATCCTTCACATACAAGTTGTTAAACAGAAGGAATTCACCTATAGCATTTACTGTATACATGAGGGAAAATACAACAGTAAAGAAAGGTAACACAGGAGATATTGGGTATCTATTTGAGCTGTGCTAGGGTCCCCTGATTTGCTTCAGGCCAACCTGGCCATGATATAATTTTATTTGGATCTGTATCTAAATTGAAATTTGGAAATTTGATGATTTCTGGCAGGTTTCATACACACCAATGCAAGGATTTTTGTTCTCTTCACCTATAATATTTGCTTTGACATGCTTCAGTTTGGCTAATCTTGGGCCCTTTTAAGGAGAAAGGCAGGATAAAAATATTTGAAATAAATAATAAATAATCTGTGTGGGCTTTTCTGTATTCTCATACTGTCTGTGATTTATATGTGGTGCCTGTGACTAAAACTGGCTCTCTACAGATATAATGAACACACTGAACCTATGAGATTGAAGTCTAAGTCAACCAGAAGCTTAAAAAAGAAAAAAAGGGCCCAGAATGTGTGAGGGTAGGAGGGCATAAAAGAAGCATCCTTGCCTCATTAAAGCTGTACCAGAATAATACTGAAAACAAGACTCAGTTCAACAAGCAATCAATTAAAGGAGCAAGGAAGGATGGAATTAGATGGGGAAAAGATTAGGAAAGGAAGACTGAAGGTTGGATATTGAGAGGGTGAAAAAAAGGAGAAACACATACAAACTCCGACAAAGTTTTTTCAAAATGGTGACTAGAAATTTATAGTAAGATTCTTGACCAGCCCAGGGTGCAAGCAGGAGGCATGGAGCAGTGGGCAAGAATAAAGGTCACAACTGAGTATATCAAGCTTTACACAGATAAAACAAATTAGTACTCTAATAATTAACTACAAGAAAAGGCAAACAGAGGAGAAAACTAGACAATCCAAATTAACAAGACAAAATGTATAGACTAAGACAATCAACCATCATCAGAACACTAATCAGTGATTTTCAATTATCTGTTTCCAATAGCTAGAGCAAAGCAAAACCATGAGGAAGTGAATATGTAATTTCAGTGACATTGTACAGTCCTTACCAGCAAGTCATGTGACTAGGAAGCTCTGGTGAGATTCTTGCCTGAGACTGCAAACTAGACATCTCAAGGAGAAATACCCCTCTTTCCTTTCCCTTCCCAGTATACCACCTGGGATTTTCCTTATATGGTGTTGTTTTGCACTGTTTCAAAGACACATTGGATGGAATCCTTTTGCTTAGTACAGTAAATCACAACTAAAGTAGGCCCATTTGAATCAATGGAACATATGAAGGAGCTGACTCTCCAAATCCCCACTGATTCTGTGTACCTACTCTAGTTTATTACACAAAACAACAGGATTTCAGCTACTGGTTGAAATACATTGGGTAAATCACTACTAGATTTGGTTCACTGAATCAATGGTACATAGATGATGACTCACCAAATCCCCATTGATTCAATGGATCTACTCTAGTTGTGACTTACTACTGGATATCAGCCACTGTCTGACATTCTTTTAGAGTCTGATCCACCTCATTAGCTGAAAGCAATTTTGATTGATCCAGATCAAATTTGGATCTAATCTAATGTGCTTCAGACTTGATATTTTGTTCAAATACATGCAATTCGGTTGAGAATTAGCCAAATAAGCCACACAGCCTTAGTGTCCATCAAATGTTCTTCATATTCCAGTACAACAGGAATATATATTTAACAGTAAAATAGAGTAGGAATGTATTTTAAATAAGGATTAACCTCTGAACACAAAACTGGGGGCAAGAAAACAGGAAACAGGGGAAAGACTGAGATAAGGATAATATGACAGAAGTAAACATACCTGTTGATGAGGGAGGAAGTGAAAAAGCTAAGGACCCCTAACAGAAGAAGGAAATTGGCAAGGTACTATTTCTCTGATAATAGCCGTTATAAATTATATTACTTACATTTTAAATGATATCATGTGAAATAGAGCTGAACTCTGATTAGGTGTATCATTTACTGAACTTTTAGTGGTCTGAGCCAGAACAACTTTCATTGTGTCTTAATCTGAAGTGTAATTCAGCCAACAAGTGTAATACTTTGAACACTTGCAATCAACTTAAGGATATAATATCCTTACTGTTCAGGTTTGTCCAAAGACTTGGCGTTCTCTTTTTCTTTACTTGATTTTCCATGTTTTTCTATCTTTTCCAGTTCATCTGACTGTGCTCTCTGTAAAACACAAACAGACAGAAATATAGAATATCATGTGGTTGGAAAGTACTATGCAAATATGTAAATCAGTAAATTGAGAAATAAATAATACTTTCAATGAAAAGTTGGTCAATTAAAATTTACTTTTGATTTCCTGACTCTTTGTTTTTTCCACTCTCTGGGACACACTGCGGTGTCAGTATTTATTTGGGGCAAACATAATTCATGGAATAATGTTAAATATAGAAGGGCTTGATGCACAACAAAACAGTTCTACATCCCTTTCAATTTATACCTATAAATAATTTCCAACAGGTCCAAACGCATTTAGCAATGCAAGATACTCACACACAACATAGCCCTTCTGAATTGTAAAAATAATTTGGAGGATCAAATGACATTTTAAAGCACTTTTTCTTTTTCATTATTTGCTTGCACCTGAATGGAATTTGACCTGCAAAAACCAATTTGACAAAATTAAGCGTGACAGCCTAAACCAAGGGTTTCAGCAGCATGTACTCCCACATGAGGCAAGATTTGCATTTTGGGAATAAAGGGAGAAGCAATTTTTCACTGGATAGCTCAGTGGTTTAGGTATCTGGAAGCAGAGCCCAAAGTTGGGGATTTGATTCCTCAATGTGCCTCCTTGACAGGGGCTTGATTTAATTATCCATAGGGCTCCTTCCAGCTCTGCAGTTCTAATATAATTATTATAGGCTGTCTGGATATCTCAGTGAGTTAGGTTTCTGGCTGCAGAGTTCAATTCTCCACTCCCAGAAAAACCAACCTGTGTGGCCTTGGGCAAGCAGTCCCTGTATGCCCCCAAAAGAAGGGAATGGTAAATCACTCCTGAGTATTCTCTACCTAGAAAACCCTGAAAAGGGCCATCGTAACTCAGAATTGACTTGATGGTACAGAACAGAGAGATCTTATGAATGGATTGAGAAAATACAGGCAATTAACTTTTATTTAAATACAAAACAATTACATTTTTGGAAATGTAAATGAGAAAAGTTTTTTCACTTTACTTATAAAATTAATACGGGGATAATCCAGAGAGAGATTGCATCATGGTCTAAGAAGTTTGGGAACAGGATATATCATTTGGGGATGAGTGATCTAAACCAGTGGTCCTCAACCTTGGGCCTCCAGATGTTCTTGGACTACAACTCCCAGAAGCCTTCACCATCACTTCTGCTGGCCAGGATTTCTGGGAGTTGAAGTCCAAGAACATCTGGAAGCCCAAGGTTGGGGACCATTGATCTAAACAACACACACCTTGTTGCAGTGCATTTTCTGCAATGATCTATCAGCATATCTGGATCCTTCAAATTAGTACAGAAAACAGCCAGTAAAACTACAGGAGATTTTCCAAGTTCATTTTGTACCATTTTGATTTTTCTTTCAATGGTGGCTGTTTTGTGATGTGATTAATGATGGAACTACTGCGGCCCTCTCCCTCCATCTCAAGCCCATCCTCCTTAATTCATTTCTACTTCTGGTGTCTGGAGTCATCTGATCTCTTGCCCAGTAAAAGACTAATCTCATCCTTTGAAGTGGGAGAGGGGATCCTATTTCTACTGACTATAAGTGTGATAACTTACAAATGTTCTCCCTTACTGATTTATGGTATCTTTTCTCTTCATACCTCCACTCCATCACTGAATTGATAGTGTAACGGTATGCAGAGTAGGCTGGCGCTTCAACAACATGGATGCAGGGAAAACACATGCAAAGACAGGGATTATGGTGTGTCTAAGACAATCTAATGCACCACTTTGTGTGGATAGGTGATTGTCTAACATCATGCAAAAAAGAGAGAGAGAGAGAGAGAAGAGAAAAAGAGAATGAACAAAACCCACCAGAGATCCAGGTGTTTGGAAGACAAAAAAAGACAGCAATTGCCACAATATGTGACAATGAGGAAATGAGTTATACCAGGGAGGAAGAAAAGCTAGAGTCCAGATACCCAGACAATTCAAGTATAAGGTGCTATATCCAGTAGTATTTGGTTCAAAGCAAACAACAACAAATGTTATTTTGTTCGAAGTGTTATAATGGCAAAAGAGTTTTCCCTTTATGATGCTTTGCAGTTGTATTCTTTTAAAGTATTGTCTGTCTGTCTGTATGTATGTATGTTAACATTTATAATCTCTCGAGACTGAAGAATGCCTACACATAGTCCAGCCTATACATCATAATCTCAGAACAAAGTTCAGCAATAAAATCATTATAAAAACAATCAATATTTTGAGACCATTTAAAAATATTAAAAATATTACAAACTATGCACATACATACACTTGGAGGCAGTGACATATTTCACTTTCTTGGGCTCCATGATAGCTGCAGATGGTGACAGAGGCCACGAAATTAAAAGACGCCTCCTTCTTGGGAGGAAAGCGATGACAAACCTCAAAAGCATCTTAAAAAGCAGGGACATCACCTTGCCAACAAAAGTCAGAATAGTCAAAGCTATGGCTTTTCCTGTAGTGACGTATGGAAGTGAGAGCTCGACCATACAGAAGGCTGACCGCCGAAGAATTTATGCTTTTGAATTGTGGTGCTGGAAGAGACTCTTGAGAGTCCCCTGGACTGCAAGGAGAACAACCTATCAATTCTAAAGGAAATCAACCCTGAGTACTCACTGGAAGGACAGATCCTGAAGCTGAGGCGCCAATACTTTGGCCATCTCATGAGAAGAGAAAACGCCCTGGAAAAGACCCTGATGTTAGGAAAGTGTGAAGGCAAGAGGAGAAGGGAATGACAGAGGATGAGATGGTTGGACAGTGTCACTGAAGTTACCAGCATGAATTTGACCCAACTCTGGGATGCAGTGGAAGACAGGAGGGCCTGGTGTGCTCTGGTCCATGGGGTCACGAAGACTTGGGCATGACTTAACGACTGAACAACAACGATAACAAATGCTCATACAGTACCTACCTAGCATTCTAAAGCTGAAAGAAAAATGTGTAGCTAATGTTTCTAGAACAATTCTCTCATGGAAATAAACACCTTCTACATCTCAAAGCTATATACACTCCCCCTCTTTCCCCTATAAGGTAATATTTAACTTGTGATGACTGATTGCTTAAATTGGTCCTGAACTGAAGAAGTATAGCTGTGACGAGAGAATGACACTTGGTCTGACATTGTTCAGGTTTATTAACAATGGAATTATACAGCGTGCCATCAGAGCTTGAAAAGAACAATTTAAAGGTAATGTCGTTTCTATAATGGGTTACTCTCTTTGGTAATAAAGTTTGTTGTAGTTACATGCCATTGATTTTCTTCTGTCAAGTGACCCAATGAATTAGATAATCTAGAAGGTCTTATTATTAATAGCTCTCTTCAAGTCTTGCAATTAAAGGTCATGTGTCCCTTCTATGAAATCAATCCATCTCATATTCTCTTTTTCTTGTACTGCTTTCCCCAGAATTATTATCTTTTCCCATTGGTCTTATATTCTCACGACTATGTCCAAGATATTATAGCCACTGATTCATTTGCAGTAAGAATTCAGGGTTGCTGTAATGAAGAACATATTTATTTTTCTTTCTGGCAATACATAAAGCTCTCCTCCAGCATCACATCGTGAATGATTTTGTTCTTGTCTGCTTTCTGCTCGGTCCGGCTTTTACATCTATATATACTGTAGTAGGTGGAAGTACCATAGCATGGATGGTCTTGGTCTCCTGCAACACCTTATGACAACACTTGAGGATGCTTTCTAGTTCCTTCATAGTTGTCCTTCCAAATCTCTGTCTGCTTCTGACTTCTTGGCTGCCATCTCCACTTGGATTGACGACAGAATCAAGGTACAGGAAATCTTTAACTATTTCTATTTTCTTCATTGTCTGCATTACAACTGTGTAATTCTTCTGTAGTTGTCATTTTTGTCTTTAATGTCAAGGTTCGTGTACTCCTACACTTTCTTTAACTTTTATCTATAATCATTTCACGTCATTGCTGTTTTCTGCCAGGAATACAGTGTCATCTATGTATCTAAAATTATGGATGTTTCTTTCACAGATTTGCACTGCTCCTTCATCTGATTCTAATGCAACTTTTTGTATGATAATATTCTGCATGTAGACTGAACAGGCAGGGAGTAAAATATATACATGGCTAACACTTTTGTCAGTTGGAAAAAACTGTTTCTCTAAAATGGTTTAACTAAGGTGTATTGTGATTTATATTCGTGAAGGTGTATTGTGATTTCTTTGTGAGTGAGGAGAGAAGGCAGCTTCACATCTGTGTCAGTATACTCTATGCCACTCAACATGTACAATGGTGCCTCAATTTATGAAATTAATCCGTATTGGAACGGTGGCCGCAACTTGAAAATTTTGTAAGTCGAAGCACCGTTTCCCATAGGAATGCATTGAAAACCATTTAATCCTCTCCGGCCAAAGAAAAAAAAATTACACACACACACACACACACAAACACTGCAAGTCCCTGGGGCTACAAAAAAACAAAACAAAACAAAAATCCAAAAATTTGCTGCGGAGGCTTCCCAGACTTCCAAAGCACCGGCACCCGGTGTGGCAGTCGGTGCGGCTTTGGAAGCCCAGGAAGCTGGAAACTGGGCTTCCCTGCCTCGTAGCGGGGACAGGAGACAGAGGGCAGTGGGGACAGGAAGTAGAGAGTAGCGGGGATGGCTTTGGAAGCCTGGGAAGCTGGGCTTCCAAAGCCTTCCCCACTGCCCTCTGCCTCCCTTCCCTGTTACCTCCGCCGCTTCAGGAGGCAGCGGAGATGGGAGGTAGAAGGCAGCGGGGACAGGAGGCAGAGGGCAGTGGTTGCAGCTTTGAATTTCCCACCCTTTCCCCCTGCCTTTTTCCTTTCGTAGGTCGAAGCTCCGGCTGCAAGTCAAACCAAAAATTTGCAACCAGAGCTTTTCGTAACTCGAAATTTTCGTTAAGTGGGGACGTTCGTAAGTCGATGCCCCACTGTACTATGGACACACTTGATACTAGCTGCCCCAAATGCTCTTGATGATACAGAAGTAGCAACAT